GCTGTTGGAGAACAGCAATCAGCTGCCTTACGGTGCACACTGGAGGGCTGTGTGCACGCTCCTCCTCTCTCCCCATCCCAGCCAGTTGGAGAGGGAAGGCATTGCTAGGACAGTCCTCTGCCAGCGCCACCAGAGCAGCAGGAGGCGATGGCTGTTCCATCGAGTTTCGCTGTAGTTTGATATCCATGAAATCCAGCAGCACAAGTGCTTTGAGCTTAGAGCAGAACTGCAGAGCCTACTAGAGCATACCACATTTACTAGACTGTAGAAGGAAAGCAGAATATTGACTTAGTGATATTACTACTTTACAGTTATTTTAATACTTGGGATTCAGTAATAATCATTTCAAGTGTTGGAGTAGAGGGTGCCAGGGTTTTTTAGGGTTTTAATCCAAACCAATGCCAGCAGGACGTGGCGCTTGGCCGGGATGCCCAGGAAAGGCTCTGCCCGGAATGTTCCTGCTGTCCTGAGCAGCTTTGGCCCAATCCACATTTCACTCTCAGTGCCTGAGAGAAAAATAATTCCCTGTGCAGCGTGCTCAGAACAGCACAGGAGTTGTCTTTAAGGAGAAAGAGTGCATTTATGATAAATGTTACACTATTTGGCTCAAACTGAGCAAATGTTTTTGTACTATTATTAACCTAAAAAATAAAAAGTTCAGCCTGCTTTGGGTGCCCTTCTAACTTAACCCCAATGAGCAAATTGTACATGAGAGAACTCTTTTTAGATAACGTTTATACAATGTTTTAAACTTGCTATCCCAGTGGTAGCAGCTTCACATTCCATGGTTTTCCTGTTGGGAATGTTCAGCCTGCTATGAACTTGTCTGAAACTCGTCCTGGTCGGCTGGGGGATATTTTTGTGGACACTGTGCACTACATTTGACTGTTGTGTTCCATCTGCTTGTGAATCCCTGAGGAGGAGCCTGGCAGCCCCTGGCTCCGTTAGATCAAAGCCTTTGAAAGCTGGAACTCACAAATTTCCAGTGTTTCAGGATGGGTCTTGCCAACAGCATTTGGAACATGCCACAGAATGGTAGATTTTAGGGTATTTTGCAAAGTCTGTGGCTCCACTTGAGCCATCAGAACGATGCACTTGTGGGTGGGAGGGTGGATGTGACAGAGCTACAGGCGATGTGTTTCCAGTAATTAATTAATCACTTTTAAGGGTCTTTCTCCTACAGCAGTTGAGGAATAACGTTGTGTTAGAGTTTGAGGCATTGTGTTGTATTTCAGATGTGGAAAACCTAAATTATGACCTAGTATCACTTAATCCTCTTCACAGTAGATCGATGGTGCAATCTGAAATTAATCTTTTCAAAACGTACTCTTCATTTTTGTACTCTATTTATTTTGATTAAAAGTCCTGGAAAGAAAAAAAAATGTATGTTTGAATGTATTGTTCTACTTGTAGCAGAACTCTAAGTTAATCATTTATTATATCATAGAAATCTTTCCCTCCAGTGTCAGAGTTTTATACAGATATTAGTCTCTAGTTTGCAGAAGAGTTTACAATCTGTCTCTATTTTCCTCATAGTCTCCCTTTAGCAGATAAACTGCCTGCAGCAAATCTCCGTTGCCAAAGGGTTCTTTTTTAACTCCTTAGAACCAACTTGTAGAGGTTTATTTGGCAATAGTAGTCCTGAAATTAGGATTGCAGAGTAAATACTAACAAGTCACCACTGCTAAAAAATGAAATCGAATCCTTTTGTGATTGCCACAAAATGCTCATGTTTCCAGAAAATATCTGGGATTTCTACTGCAATATGGATTTTCCATCAGCTGTTGTCCATTCCAGAAGGATGTACCCTCGTGGCATTAATGTATTTTAGGTATCTTTGGTTTTCTCGTATTGTCATTTTTGAGGTATCTCAAACGTATGTTAAAGCTGCCATGCATTGTATTACTAAATTGTAACTATCAAATAGATAATATATTTAATACAGCCAATAAATAATACAAATGTATTCAAATTTGACTCCGAGCTCCTGTGGTTTTATGGGATTTAGTGTCATTTGTGTCATGTGTAATTTAAGGGAAGGGAACATGCTCAGTGTCATTAAGAGCTGAATTAACTTTGGACCCTTGGAATATCACTTCCGTTCCTCCTCACACTGCAGGAAGGACCTGCAGTTTCCAGGTGAGGTAGAACAGTTCTGTGATACTGGAAATTGAATTGTTTGGGGCTGATTGCCAATTTTCCATCATTTTGTGTTGACTCAGGGCTTTTCCCCCTTGAGCTCGTCTCCAGCATTTGCTGCTGATTGTGGAATTTTGTCTGACAGTGCCTTAATGATCTGATGAAGATGGGAAAGGCTTCATTTGAGCATCATTCCCAAAGAGACAGCTGGACACTCAGCCTGGGTAAACTTCCCACTTGAGGAACGATCAGGGGTGAGGAGCTGGAAAATGTGGAGGAGGCAATGGGAGTGGGGGCCAGTGTGAGGGAATCCCAGGGAAAGGCTCTGGGGAGCTGGAAGCACAGAGCCAGAGGGAGCAGGGACACCCAGCAGCAGGATGTGTCCTCAGAATTCCTCCAGAACCCAGGAATGGGGCTCTAGCAGAAATGAGAGAGGGATCAGCTACAAAACAAACCTCCTCCTCTTCCTCCTTGGAGCTTGGCTCTTTGCAGCTTTTCTGCTCCCAAGCACTGCTCAAATGCCAGTTTTGTGGAGCCAAATAGTGTGGGATTAGTGCTGGAAAGGTCAGAGCTGAGCACAGGCACTGCATTGTCCAGCAAATCCCAGATCTGACGCTAGGGAGATTCCTGCTGCCCTTTCCAAGAGGCAGAAGCTCTGGCTGGGGTTGTTCTTGCAGATTTGGACGCCTCCCAACAAGAAAAGCTGTGCTTGTGCCTGGGCTCTGCATGGCTGCACCCTGAACACCTCAACAAATCCTGTCCGGGAAGAAATTCCCAGTGAAATTTCATAGAGTGATGGAATGGGTTGGGTTGGGAGCAACCTTAAAGCTCATCTTGTTCCCCTCCCAGCCAGACAGGGATACCATCCCCTATGCGAGGTTGCTCCAAGCCCTATCCACCTTGGCCTTGAACACTTCCAGGGATTTCAAATGTATGGGATGTAACTCCTGCCCCCTGAGCAGAGCCAGGTGCCCAAGGCTGTGCTCTGGTTTCTCAGCAGAGGATCCCAGCTGGCTGCAGCTGCCCGAGATGAACGAGCCGCGGCAGACGGAGGCGTCGGCACCAGGCCAGGACACACCGTGACCCCATTTCCTGTTTTCCAGCCCTGAAAACAGCCCCAGTGCCTGAGCAGAGGGGAAGCGTGGCTGCTCTTCATTGGGCCAGTGTGTGGTGCCCATGGAATTTGTCTTTGTGTGTTTATCCTGCAGAAAAGGAGGCTCAGGAGGGACCTTGTGGCTCTGCACAGCTCCCTGACAGGAGGGGACAGCCATGAGAGGAAATGGCCTCAAGCTGTGCCAGGGGAGGGTTAGGTTGGACATCAGCAAGAATTTCTTCATGGAAAAGGTTGGCAAACATCAGAACTGCCGCAGGAGGTGGTGGAGTCTCCATCCCTGGAGGTGGCACTCAGTGCTCTGGGCTGGTGACAAGGTGAGGATCAGGCACACCTTGGACTTGATGGTCATCGAGGGCTTTTCCAGCCCCATGATTCCCAGCATGGCTGTGCCCCACAGGGGTGTCCATGGGGAGAAACATCCATGGCCCGGAAGGTGTTTGTGGTCTGGGGACAAGTGGCTGCCGTGTAGGAACTGTCTCTCCCTGCCTTCTGCTGCTGCTTTCCTCGCAGAAATCCTGCAGGGAATTCCTGGTTGTGCTTCCCAGCATGGAAAATCACCTGTGGTGAGGGGAGGAGGTGGCACAGAGGGAGCAGAAGAGTCCTGCACTGGGTTTAAAGATAAATCCCAAGCCCCACAGAAGTGCACACCATCATTTTCTTTCCTGCCTCAGGAATGTGTGGCAGCCCCCAGCTCCATGTGCTGAGCTCCAGCCTGATCCCAGCCTGTGGAAAAGCTGCTCTCCCCCCCTCTTTCCTAAAACCAGGAAAGAAAAGTGGATTTAGTTTGTTGCCGAAGGTCAGTGTCTGGAATTCCTCCTCCCTCCCCCCTCCCAGGATGTTTTTGTGTAACACACTCTGACTCATGGAAGTCAAATGACTTGGCCTGGGAGCTGCCTCAGCACAGGATTCTGGCACAGGGATCCCGTGCCTGCCCCTCGTGCTGGGTGAGGGTTCTCCAGCTCCTCCAGGGCTGCTGGAGCTGTGGGGCTGCTCCTGCTCCCCCAGGCTGGTCCCAAACCCCGGGAAGGGCTGGGATGTGTCTCTGATCCAGGTACTGAATGCCTGCGTGTGCATGGGGAGCACCAGAGCTGCTGCTGGAATGTTCTGCTGGGTGGATCAGAGGGAGCAGCTCTTGGTTTGTCCCTGTCCCTGAGGAGCTGGGATGGGAGTCCCCAGCACATCCTCTTCCTCCAGACCTGGCTGCAGTCCAGCCATCCCGGGTTATAACACATTGCAACTGCTTCTGCAACACTGCTGATCGCCTGCCCAACAAAATCACAACAATACTTTATTTTTGGTTCTGTTTTGCCTCAGAAAGTGAGAAACTTTGACAAAACTCATATGGAATGTGCTCTAAGTGGCTTCCAAATCTAGTCAGCTGCTATGAAAACCAGCTTTAAAAAGCTTTTAAATTTGCTTCCAAAGTGGAACCTGTTATTTTCAGAACAGTGGGTACACACTGTCATTTTGAGTTAATCCTAGGATTGCTGGCACTTTAAAAAGTGACTTCAGAGCTATTAATGAAATAACAAAACACCCTCTCCTGCATCACCACAAGCCAGATGGGAGGCACTGGGCTGTCTGCAGCAGGGGAAGTGGGAAAACAGTCACTTGAATCCAGCAGATTTGGTCTGTGCATGTTTGTCCTCATGAATATTTATAGAAAAGTGAATTTCTGATCTGCAAGGCCGCGTCTCCTTGGCAACCCCGCTAGGCCGCGTCTCCATAGCAACGCCGCCCTCCCGGCCACCGTAGCCACGCCCCTCGTGTCACATGACCGGAAACTATGGAGGCGGCCAAGATGGCGTCCCCCAAGAGCGCCCCTAAAGATGCGCAGGTACCGCGGGGTCCGGGGGGATCCCGACGGGACCGGGGCGCACCGCGGGCTCAGGGGGCTGAGAGGTGCCTGTGTCCCCCCGGCAGGTGATGGCGCAGATCCTCAAGGACATGGGCATCACCGAGTACGAGCCGCGCGTCATCAACCAGATGCTGGAGTTCGCCTACAGTAAGCGGGGCCGGGCGGGAAGTGCGCGGGGAAGCCGCGGGTGGAGCAGGGAAGCGGTGTGTGGGGCGGGGAAGGTTTGTGTGGAGCACAGAGTGCTCTGTGGGTCCGTGTTTCCGTGGGGGCTCCCCTGTCAGACCCGGTGACCACGGAGGTCTTTTCCAGCTGTAATTCTGTGACGCTTTAATCACAGAATCACAAACCCAGCATGGTTTGGGCAGGGGCACCTTCCTCTGTCCCAGGCTGCTCCAAGCCGTGTCCAGCCTGGCCTTGGACACTTCCAGGGATGCCGGGGCAGCCACGGCTGCTCTGGGCCCCTGTGCCAGGGCCTGGCAGGGAAGAATTCCTTCCCTTTATCCCGTTATCCCGTCAGCGCTGCCTCGGGCGCTCTGAGCAGTACCCGCAGAGGTTCCAGTGCCATCCCCAGGGTGGGGCTGGGGAGCATTCATGAATCTCAGAGCCCATTTCCCCCAGGATACGTCACCACCATCCTGGAGGACGCCAAGATCTACTCGAGCCACGCCAAGAAGTCGAGCGTGGACGCGGACGATGTGCGGCTGGCGATCCAGTGCCGCACCGACCAGTCCTTCACATCGCCCCCGCCCCGCGACGTGAGCGCCGCTGCCGTGGGCGGGGACACACAGGGGACACGGGGATGGCACAGGACACAGGGCTGGGGGTGGCAGCAGGACATGGGGCTGGCACAGGACATGAGGATGTGGTCATGACACAGGGATGCCATTGGGATACGTGGATGTCAGCGGGACACGGGGATCTGGCCAGACACAGGGATGTGGCTGGGACACAGGGATGTCTCCAGGAAATGAGGATGTCACTGGGACACTGAGATGAAGCTGAAACACTGGGATGAGACTGGGACATGGGGTTGTGATGGGGACACAGGGATGAGGCCTGGACACAGGGATGTCACCACGACATGGGGATGTCAGTGAGACACTGGGATCTGTCCAGGATATGGGGATGAGATCAGGACACTGGAATATCACTGGGACACAGGGATGTCACTGGGACACAGGGATGTGACCAGACACAGGGATATCAGTGGGACACAGGGATGTGGCCAGGACACAGAGATGAGGCTGGGACACGGAGTTATCACTGGGGAACTGGGATGTCACCAGGACATGGGGATGTCAGTGAGACACAGGGATAGGGCCAGAACATTGGGATGTGTCCAGGACATGAAGATGAGGCTGGGATTTTGGGATCTGACTGGACACAGGGATGTCACCGAGACACAGCGGTGTCAGTGGGACACAGGGATGTCACCAGGACACAGGGATGTCAGTGGGGCACTGGGCTGTCTCCAGGACACAGGGCTGTGCCCAGAGCCGGGGCTGAGGCCGTGTCTCTGCAGTTCCTGCTGGACATTGCCCGCCAGAAGAACCAGACGCCGCTGCCGCTGATCAAGCCGTACTCGGGCCCGCGGCTGCCGCCCGACAGGTACTGCCTGACTGCCCCCAACTACCGCCTGAAATCCCTGCAGAAGAGGGTGAGGATGGCTCAGGGATCGGGGATGAACCCCCGGGGGTTGGGAGGGGTTTTAAATTGCAGTTTTCCACAGCTCTGAAAAGTGGGGGTGAATATTGGCCTGTGCACGGCAGCTCGGAGGTCTCCGTGCTGGATTTGTAATTTGTTGTTGGTTGATTTTAAATGGAAATTTTGAAATGCGGGAAATTTTAACATATGGGAAAATTTAAGGTATGGGAGTATTGTAGTGTTAAAGAAATACTGCAGAATCCCAGAATCATTGAGGCTGGAAAAGCTCTCCAGGATCATCAGATTCAGCCTGTGCCAGAGCACTGAGTGCCAGATCCAGTCATTCCCTGGGCACCTCCAGCACCACCCTGGGAAGCCCCTTCCAATGCCTGCCCACCCTTTCCCTGAAAAAATTCCTCCTCATGTCCAGGATAAACTGTCAGGTTTTAATGTCAAGTTGTCAGAGGCACAGGTCAGGCTTTTTGACTTCCACCTCAGTATTTTTGACTTCCACCTCAGTTGTTCCTGCTCTAGAGGGAAAATATTTCCTTTGCTGGGAAGCCCTGAATGCCTCACTGTGGAGGGACTTTCCTGTTTATTCCAGGCCATTCCCTGATTCCCTGTTTCTCCCCCCACAGGTCTCCTCCACAGCAGGCAGGATCACAGTCCCTCGCCTGAGCGTGGGTGCCGTGAGCAGCAGGCCCAGCACTCCCACTTTGGGTAGGAAACAGCTCCACAGGGGATTTCCCACCTTCCTTTTAGGAAGGAAAAATAAAGAGGAATAATTTAAAACACTTTTCAGCCTCTGAGGGAATGTCAGGGACTACCTGACCTTATATTGTTTGACAGCATCAGAAAGTTAATTTCATAAATTGATCTTTATTGTTAAATAATATTTAAGTGTAAATGCATTACAGATGTTCTGTATTTGTGATAAAGTCTTTATTTAACAGATTATTCAAGAACTTCACTAAAATTTAGGGTTATTTTCCTCAGTGTCAGTATGATGCTGAATTAAATAGCACTGGGGAAATATCAATTTTTAAAAGGATCTTAAAATTTACAGCTATGCCCTAAAAATTAGTGTGTTTATAGTTTGGAATTCTGTAGGGCTGGGGTAGATGTAAGGAAATGAGCAAATGTGCAGCTCTGATGGAAATGGAAATCTGTTCCTTAAATCTGGTGTGCTTGTGTTCCTGTGCATTCCCACTGTGCCTAATAAGAGATTCCACTTGGGAGGGAGTTGTAGGAGTGTTCATGGGTTTATTTTGATTTATTTTGGTGGTTTGTGTGGGACCCAGGCACCCCCTCAGCCCAGACCGTGTCGGTGTCAGCCAAGGTGGGCGCGCCGGTGTCGCTGGCGGGGCAGCGCTTCACGGTCCAGATCCCGTCCTCACAGCCGGCTGGGAAATCAGGTACAGCTGGGGTTCCTGGAGCAGGGATAACCACACAGCCACAGCCTGCTTGGGTGCCAGGGAAAAGCTCATCCATCCCACCCCCTGCCTGGACAGAGACACCTTCCATGCTGGCCTGGAACACTTCACAGCTCCTTGGCCAAGCTGATGGGGAAATTTCTCCCCCTCTCCCTCATTCCAAAAAGTTCCAGTGTTAATTTCCATTCCCAGCACAGCAGTGGCAGGCAGAACATCCCCATCCTGGGCAGCTCCCTCCCACCCTGGCTCCTGTTTCCTTTTCCCTCTTGTGTCCTCACCCCTCCCTCCAACATTTCCCTCTTGGGATGAGCTTGGAATAACGCAGGGATTGCTCCAAGCTTTCAGTGACGCCTTTCCATGATTCCCACAGCCACTCCCACCACTCCCACGGTGCAGAACGTCCTGATCAACCCCTCCCTGATTGGCCCCAAGAACATCCTGATCACCACCAACATGGTCCCGCCCGGCGCCGCCGACCCCAACCCGCTCAAGAGGAAGCACGAGGACGACGA